CATTTTACTGATGAAGACATTAAGGCTTTTTTTCTTAGGTGAATGTACAATGAATATACGATGTTCAAGCTTGATGGCAACTAAGCAATACTAGTTAGGGTTTGAACCTGGTCTTTCAAACTAAGAGGCAACCAAGGCGTAGCCTACCAGACCAAACCCACAGATCCTGAAAACTGAGGCTCTAGAAGCCAAACTTCCAGGTTCCCAACAGTGGTCCCCAAACAGGATCTGTCAGGAAGGTGACCGGCTGCTCTGGCCTTCCCATGCTGAAGGCTCAGAAGGACTTGCTGGGAGCAGGAGAGCAGCCTATGATTTGGGGTGGCAGTCCTGAGATGGAATGGCTATGTTCTTAAAGAGGGCCTGTTGCTTAGGGCTGGAATGTCAGCAGACTGTTTCAATACTCTTCAGGAGCCCATGGGTGTGGGTTGAAGTTCCATGTCAGGGCAGGTCATCCTCATGGCCTCTTGCCCCTTAGGAAATATCCCCACCCTGTCAGTAGAGCTGCAGCCGCTGCCTTCTGTGGGCTGAGGCCGAGGGAATGGTTGGGCGGGTTTTTCCCAAGGATTGGGATCTGGACCAGTTGCTTTTTGGCCACGGAACTAGAGAACACCCTGTTTCCAACATAGAGGCCAATTGGATAGGATGGGTCAAGGGCAGCTATGGGGTCCCTGATCCAGTTCTGCAGTACTGGGTGGAGAGAGTGGATCATAGGCTGCTTGATAGATGAGGTTAATAAACACCAGGAAGAGATACTGAGCAGAGCCAGGCTGGGAGCACTCTAAGGGTTACAGACAGAATACACAATGGGTCTGGGTGTGGACCTGGTGGCTCCTGTGCACCTCTGGCTTTTCCCTTCTGTCCTCACTTGTCTTTAAAGTACAAGAGTGTAGACTTGGAGGTTCTGGGGCTGAGAGGAGAGTAGGATCATCTGGTCCACTCTGAAGGGAGATGAGTCAGGCTGGCTTCTACAGGAGATGCCCCCAGGCCTTTGTGCTGGTGCAGGCAGGTTCAGGCAGGAATGTTAGTGGGGTGAGGCCATTGTCTTAAGTTTGCTAGAGATTAGTGGAGGAGGCCCCAGGGAGTGTGTTTTTTTTGTAGGGCTACAGGGCTTGGATAGTAGAAGAAAATTTTAAGGGGCAGTTAGGTTAATTAAAAGGAAATTAAGGAATCATAGGTGATGCTAGGTGGGTGAAAGAGGAGATGAGATTGAGCCATAGTTCCATTATTACCATGACATCTGATAAAAGTTTCCCAGATTGGGGTTGTTACCCTGTTGTGTGCAGGCAAGAACATGTGGAACTGAAGGGCCCTAGAACCTATACTCATCTCCCTTCACCTTTACACCCAACTCCAGCCTGAGTGAGGGTTGGGAACTGGAGGCCTTTTGTCTTTATTTTGACCTATGCCCCCATGTAAAATGAAGAGTAGGGTTGCTGTCTCTAGGTTCCTGGCTCCCTTGAGCACCTCCCTGACCCAGCAATGAATGACTCAGTTCAGGGCCAAGTAGAACAGGTCTTGAGAAACTATGTCCGTCCCATCTGTGCAGAATTGGCTCTGGGCCTGTCCCCTCCCTCATATATCTGTGATTGGCTCCTAACTTCTGCATACCCCTTGTCCTCTTACCTCTTACAGGAAGGCAGGCAGGCTTCGGGTTTTCCAGGGAATGGATGTTCCAGCCAAAAGACCCCCAGTGAACTTCCCAGACAGTGGCTCTGTAGGAATGCATGAGGCATCTCATCCTAACCATGCCATTTCTGCCATCCTTGTCCTCTGCCTAACTAGCACAAAGTGGGAGTCCACTTTGCCTTTTGGACCCCTTTCCATTCAGCCAGGAGATTCTGTCAGACTCAGAAAACTGGTCCAGTGTCCAGGGTAGTATCCACCTGACCCCTGACTTCTGGCTCTTGCTCCACAGCTGCTGGAATACTTGGGGAAGGGCAAGAGTATCGTGGATGTGGGGCTGGCCCAGGCCCGGCACCCACTCAGCACCCGTAGCCATTACTTCGAGGTGGAGATTGTGGACCCTGGAGAGAAATGCTACATCGCCTTGGGACTGGCCAGGAAGGTGGGCTCAAGTGCTGTCTTTCTCCCTGTGGGGTCAGTTTGGGGATATTGGGATGGGCCAGGAAGCACTGGGAAAACCCTGGGCAGGGGACTATAGAGGAAAAGTTGTGAGCTGAGTCAGAGCTTGGTTTTAAGTGTCTGTTTAGAGGACAGACCTTGTGATATATGACATAGTGTCCGAAGTGCCACCCCATCTGGTCCTGAAGCAGAGCCCCTTCCTGTCTTCCTTGCTCCCCATTCCTGGCTGGGGGCTGCTGGACATCTGGGTTGTGACAGAGTCGGATGCCCCTTTCCTCTATCCTCTTCCACCACATGTGATGTCATAGACTTCTTTTCGTCGTCCTGCTATAGGATTATCCCAAGAACAGGCACCCTGGCTGGAGCCGAGGGTCTGTGGCATACCATGCAGGTGAGTGGAAGCTGCTGCTGTGGAAACTGGGGGGAGACAGGGGCACAGGAGTCACCCATTCTCCTGCTCACTCCTATGTGGCCTCTCTCCTTCCTTTTTCCAGGCTCTTCAGGCTTTCTCTTCATCTTGTTTTTTCTCTCAGTCCTGAAAGCCAGAGGCACAAGACAGGGCAGGAGAACTGGGCTCAGAGTGGACACTCCAGGCTGACTTGGCTTCCCTGTGCCCTTCCTGAATATTGCTCAGATTTCCTGTAGGGTTTCCTAGGAATACTGAGCCTTGGCACCTGGGCTCCCCTCCCTCCCTTCCCTGCTTGCTCATCCACCTTAGGGACCCTGCCTTTCTTCTGACCAGTTCAGTCAAATGGACATTGTTTTCTTTTTTAAAACCTGGTTGTCCTTCCTGCATCTGTCTCTCACCTTTGTGTTGTCCTGAGGATTGCAGAGTTAGTTCCTTCAAGTGTGTCCTTTCCCTTCCCTCCAACAGATGATGGGAAGATCTTCCATGGCAGTGGTGTGGGGGACCCCTTTGGGCCACGCTGTTACAAAGGGGACATTATGGGCTGTGGAATCATGTTCCCTCGGGACTACATCCTGGACAGTGAGGGTGAGTGAGGATGGACAGCAGCCAGACTGCTTGGGGCAGTGGGCGGTAGGTACTACAGGAGCTTATGTTTCCTGTCTCCTAGGGGACAGTGATGACAGTTGTGACACAGTGATCTTGTCACCAACTGCCCGGGCTGTCCGGAATGTCCGAAATGTCATGTACCTGCACCAGGAAGGTGAAGAAGAAGAGGAGGAAGAGGAGGAGGAAGAGGAAGAGGAGATAGAGCAAGAGCATGAGGGCAAGAAGGTGGTGGTGAGTGTTGGCTCATTCTGGGGTCCTGGGGCAGACCACCAGTGAGAACAGGACCAAGAGGCAGGGGTGGGGGTAGGGGTTGGGTGGGAAAGGCAAGGTCTGGAGCTGCCCAGGCTCACAGTAGCTTTAGAGCCCAGGCTACAGTTCTGATCTGTCTGCCAGCCTCAACCTGCCCTCTTGTGGTTACTTCCCATATCACCCCAAGTGACTCCTAATGGAGTCAATGGACTCCCAACTCCAATGGTAGGAGTTGGGGGTGTTGGGCTTGAGTCATTCTCATATCCCTAGGGAAGAGACCAGAGTCCACCCTCTTCTCTCCACCTCCACTACCAGGTTTTCTTTACCCGGAATGGCAAGATCATTGGGAAGAAGGATGCCGTTGTGCCTTCTGGAGGCTTCTTTCCCACCATTGGAATGCTCAGTTGTGGGGAGAAGGTGAAAGTAGACCTGCACCCATTAAGTGGCTAGAGGCTTCACCTGCACATCTGCCCCTTTCCTTCTGCAGCCTCCCTCCAGTCTTCCCCAGGATTTGCTCACCATCAGGCCCTGGGAGGACATTACCCTTCCCCTACCAGCTCAGTCAGAGCCCAATCAGGCTGGACCTTCTGTCTCTGGGCCTGAGCCTGTGGTGATAGGAATGGGTATAGAACAGTGTTGATATATGGGAGGGTCCCCCTTGCTTTGGTCTGTGGGCACCTGGATCTCCTTATACCTTCCTGGACCCTGTGAGAGTTGGGAGAAGTGTAAGCCCACCTGCTATTTGGGCCGAGGGTGGAGTAGAGGTAGCCTGTCCTTATTCACCACATAATCCCCCTGAAACCTCTTTTCACCCAGTTGCTGCTGTCTCCCCCTGGCTGGGCTAGGGGGCCTGTCTTGGCTATCTCTCTTTTCACTGGCTGCTGTCCTAAATCACATCTAGGGTCTTCATTCTTTCCTTTGAGAGACAGCCCCGCTCCCACACTCAAGCATCACATAAAGTCGAGCCTGGCTCCCTACCTGCCCACAGAGTGCTCAGTATCTGTGTGAGAGAAAGGCCAGTCTGTGTGGCAGTGGGGGACTGTAGCCTTTGCTCCCATCTCCTTGTCTGCACTCTTCCTCAAGGCACCCCTAGCCCTGGCTCACCTAGATGCGGCTAAGGCACCAGGGCATGTGTTTTGTTGTGGCTGTTGCTCAGAGCTGCAACTTGGCCCCTTATGTCCCTTCCCCTGCCCACTCCCTGACCCTGTGCCCCAGCTTGCTGCTTGTGCCAGTTGACTGTTTTTGCTTCAGTGTATGATTCTAGCGTCTACATAGACCCCTCACCTGCAACCAACCCCCCCATCTTCTCCCCCCATTTCAGGGGCTCTTGGTCTCAGTTTGCACAGTGGGTAGGACTTGGGGGGTGCTATTGTGCTGCTGGGGCTCCTCTGCCCCTCCTTCCGGCCCCTGCACTATGATGTATGAAATGTATGTACAGACCAGAGATGTTTATACACCCAATAAAGATGGAGTTTCCATATTTATCAGGACGGACAGAAAGGGAATCCTTTCCAGTCAAAGGGCCCGGGCCAGCAGGTAGAGACAGCTGAGGGCAGATGGCCCCAGGGCAGTTGTGGGACACAGGCCAGCAGGGGCATGTCTCTGAGAGAGATGTACGTTTTTCTTCTTCCTATGAAGAAGTAATCAACTCCTCAAAAGTTTATAGAAATTCTTTATTAGTACACAAAAATAGACTCTCTTTTTTCCTCTGTTTATGTGATCCCACTCTGGTCTCGTTCAGAGGGGAGGCAAAAGCTCCCACACTTCTCCCCTTTCCCTCCATGATGGGACCTCCAGCTGGGTGGAGCTGGAAGGGCCATTCCCCACCAGGCCTCCACTACTGATACCGCCTCACCCCTTACACCTGTCTCTGCCATCTGGTCACATGCCAGGTCATCTCATGGGCCCACTCACTTAGCTTAGCAGGCAAGGGCAAGAACAGTGGCCCAGGCTGGTGCCACACTCTCTTTCATAGGGAGGACGCTGGCTCCTAGGGCTCCTGGATTCAGGCCAAGACAGTGAGAGCTGTGGGTGCTGGGAGAGTGCAGTGTTGATGTGGGCAAAGAGATTGCAGCTTTCCTTCATTTTCTCTGGCCCAGTAGAACTTTGGTGATAAAGGTGACAATGGCATTTGCTGGTTGGTCTGGGTCAAGCTCCTCAAAGAGGTGACACACATTTTCCCAGGGGCTTCCTGGTTTTTTGGCCACGAAACCAAAGATCCTACAGGGACAAAGCCAGGGAGGACCTTTATATTCCTTCGCCAGGAGGATGAAGCTGGCCGTGTGGGTCAGCTCATGCCTGTCTAGGGTTGGGCGCACAAGGAGACTTACTTGGACGTGGTTCCATCTGGGTTGGTCCATCTGTAAAGAGAGAGAGCCCTGAAGAAGTACAGCCGAGGGCACAGCTCCTGAAGGGTGAGCTGGAGCTGAGGGTGGGAGGACCATAGGTTGGGAAAGGGATCCAAGGAAGGCTCACCTGCGGTCCTGGGGGTCAGTGCTAGAGAAGGTGATGCTGTTCACTGGGTAATGACGACGAAAGAAGAGCCTGTGAGGAGTAGGTTGGAGAAGGAAAGTCACACCTCTAATCCAGGTTTTGGGCTTAAGAGATGGCTCAGAGATTAAGAGCACTAGCTGTTCTTTCAGAGGTCCTGAGTTCAATTCCCAGCAACCACATGATGGCTCACAACCATCTATAGTGGGATCTGATGCCCTCTGAGGGCATACATGCAGATAGAGCACATTAAGTAAATAACATAAAAAAAGAAAAGTCAGGTTTCACTAGTGGTGGTGGTGCACACCTTTAATCCCAACACTCCGAGGGCAGAAGCAGGCAGATCTCTGTGAGTTTAGGCCAGTCTGGGCTACAAAGTCAGTTCCAGGGCAGTCAGGGCTACACAGAGAAACCCCATCTTGAAAACCCAGGAGGGGGGACAGGGAAAAAAGAAAAAGAAATCCAAGTTTTGGAGTTGGAGAGATGGCTCAGAGGTTTAGAACACTGGCTGATCTTCCAAAGGACCTGGGTTCAATTCCCAGCACCCACATGGCAGCTCACAACTATCTGTAACTCCAGTTCAGGGGGTGCAACATTCTCACACAGATAGGCATGCAGGCAAAACATCAATGCACATAAAATAAAAGTAAATAAGTTAATTTTTAGAAAGAAAGAAACAAAGATTTCTGGGCTGGGGAGGTGGCCCAGAGGTTAGAGTACTAGCCATAGAGAATGAGTTTGAATCCCCAGGACCCATAATTCCAGCCTCAGAAAGCAGAGACAGAGTCCCAGGAGCAAGCTAGCTAGCAAGACGAGCTGCATCTCTGACTTCTGGGTTTGATTGAGAGAACCCTGTCTCAATAAGGTGAAAGAGAGATCCAAAAATATCTTTTTTTTTTTGAGACAGACTTTCTCTATGTAGCTTTGTAGCCTATGCTGCCAAAAAGATTTTTTCCCCAAGGTTTTTCAAGGTTTCTCTGTGTAGTCCTGCTTATTATGGAACTCAATATATAGATCAGGCTGGCCTCAAAATCAGAGATCCACCTGCCTCTGCCTCCTGAGTAC